ATATATATATACGTAAATTTAAATAAATAATTGATAATTGGTTGGCTCTTAATAAAATTAGAGGTTATGAAAATCATCACTCTCGTTTAAAAAAAAATCCTGACTCTAGGGACTTTTTTTTAACTCTTCTACGGAGCTCTATGCTTCCGTGAAACACCATTTGGGAACCGCTGTTCTAGAGAAATAGATTTTCCAAAATATCTATAGCCCTGATCTTTAAAACATGATTGAAAAGTTTCATAAAACAAAGCAGATGTTTCAGATGATATTAAGAAGGCAGTTTGCCGAAATCAAGTCAAAATCGGCAGCTATTTTGAAAATTGTTGCTCGAGTACCAATTTGGATAATTAAAGCTGCTGCCCTAATTAGATAATTAGGGCTAATTATAAAATGTTTGATTTCTACTACTTTACTCAATTTCCACATTTAAAAAATTTAAGAACATGTGATGTTGTTATATTATCAAGACGATTTTATTATTTATATCTATCTATCTATATATCGATATATATATATATATATATGTGTGTGCGTGTTTGCCTCTTACATTAGATATTCCTTTTCAACTCTCTACAGATTAAAATTTTATTTTTTTGCTCTTGTTTTTGTTTATTATACACGATTATTTTTATAAAATGAATAAAACTTCTATTTGATTTGTAGTTATAAATCTGAGTTTCCCTCTTCCTTTCAATAAAAATTATTTAATAAAGATAGGATATCTATGTATCAAAATTAAAGTTTTAAACCAATTCAAATTTTTTTTATTTTAGGTTTCAGCTCTATTATTCGTAAAAAGTGCTTCCTAAAAAGGATTCTTAAAAGAGATAAATAGTTCATGCCACCAATATATATGCAATTTGCTCGACCAAGAAATACATTTAATAACATGCAAAATGGTGAGGAATTAAAAATATAAAATAAATCATACGTTACTTTACAAAATGTAGTTAAGGACATATAAACGTAAAAACGGTAAAACATCCATGCAGTTTATAGAATGAAAATTAAAAATAAATAAAAAATAAAAAATGATCAAAAATATTTATAAGCTCAATTTAGAGTATTTAAAAGAAAATGGTAAACTCAGAGTCTAAATCTTTTCATAATTTTTTTTTACCACACAGGGGCTCTGAACTCTTTTGTTAGAGAGTGCTGCCATTTTATTACTTAAAGAATCAGTTTTTTACATGCTCTAACAATAGAGTAGAAACTTTTTATAATATTTTCTGAGGCTTATTTTACACTGATGAAAAAAATCTCAAAATGTTTCTGAATATACGGTGGATGTAGCTTTCAAAAACATTTCCTATTATTTCGGAAACCTCTTGATGTAACAGGCAATATTAACCGTCATCTATCAAAAGAAACATCAAGATAGGATTAAGTTAATATGTCTTATATACTAACGAATTGGGATTTAATCGTTATAGTGGTAGCTACGCTACACTCTGATACTGAATCCGGGTCATTGCTATTCAGTTTCCTACTATCGAAAATAAAAGAAATGTTTCTCAATTGATCAGCAACAAGACATTAAAGTTTTCTTATATTTTCGGAAAAATTTTTGTTGAGTCAAAATTAATTTCTGAATATTTTTTACAGAGTACAAATTATTGTAATAAAGAGTGTATAACCTATTTTTTTAAACGTTTAATCGAAAGAATTTACTGCATTTGCTTAATGAATTAGAATAAAATTAAAGACTATGAAGGATTAATGGACTGAGTCTGAAGTTCGTAGAGATATTGAAAAAATAATGACTGTGCAAGGAACTATCAGTTGTAATCACCTATTTAGCACTCGTGACAACATTTGTCCTAAAATATTCAATAAATATAATAATTCTAGTATTTTTGTTCATATACAAGCAGTTTCAAAGCGTAATGTTTACTTGTTTGAAAATTATATAGTTCTATTTAAATCACTTTATATACTGATAGAATTTTTATTCTAAAATTATGGTGAAATAACCTGAAGCAATCGGTCCATCTGATTTAGCGTTAAGTTTACAGTAAAAAAACTTTTTTTTTTTACCTTTACGGTATTGAAAACGCTTACAACTAGCATGGTTATATAACCATACAAAACTGTACGGTTTTTTAACCATTTACAGCCAGCATAGGCTTCAAAACTGAAAAAAGAAATTTAACTAAATATAGGAGCTTTGCTTTTCAGTAGGTTTTGTCATCGGTGTGATTCGAACCCCAGCTCTTTCGGTCATGAGACTGACAGAATTGCCCTCTTGGCTTTAATATGTACCCAGCTGCCAATAAGTGGCTTCATTTCATTGACTTAGTTGGTGCGATAAAATTCTAGTTGGTTATCCATAGTAGGTGAAAGCTGTTATGATTTATGATTTTTTAACTGTTTTGCTTGAATATGGTAAAATAACAATTAAATAAATTGGTATTTGACCATTTTTTTGAAGAAATTTCTAACTATGCAGAAGTAAGTACATTAAAGTGTTTTGGTTTAATTTTATAAAAAGAGTTTCATAAATTTTTGCGTAATTTTTGAACAAGTAGTTTCATTAAAAAAATAAAATATATCAGAAATGAAAAAGGGAACAGGTAGAAAAGGTTGACACACAGAAAAACACCGATGTTCAAACGAACCGTACAATGGACGTGGACCTCTATGTGCTTGTCTTGAATCTGCGATTTGTGTGGAGTGACTACAAATGCTCTACATGTGTAGTTTCCGGCATCTGATGTCTTTAGATTTCTAACAAACAGTCCATCTTCAGTAATAGTGCGTCGAGGACCTAAAAAATAATAATATAGAAGGTTTGGGAATGCAAATTTAAAAATCTCAAACAGACGTATACTTAAAATTTGATTTCTCAGGAACTAGTCAACAAATTTCGATCAAATTTTGTATTTTGCCATGTAAAATTACCTACTTTAAAATTATGCAAAACATTTTGTACTTTATAATTCAAAATTTTCTCGACTCTAATGAAATAAGAGAATAAAAAAATATTTATTAATTTTATTTTTTTTCACGGTATTATCCTTGGACGAACAAATTTTACAATTGTCAACAAAAATTTTTCAGTTAGCTTAAAAAGTTCTCGAGATGTGGCGAAATATGAAAAAAAAAGTCAATTAACATTGAGGGGTTCAAACTTTGAATCGCTCTCTTGACCAAACTATGGAGACCATATTTCCCAGATCTCGGCTACCCCCTATATTTTTAGGGTCAGAAATCTGAATTCCTTGAACAAAATATATGTTTATTTAAAGAAAGTACGTTTTTGTGTCTAATTTCATAACTCAAAACATCGTCTGCTCTAATTAATTAGTTCACTATCGTCTCCTCTATGCAGATTCTAGGTAATGTTTTTTCCTACACTAAATCTATAAGCACAAAATTTCCAAATAAAATTCTAACGATAACGAAATCGCACAACATATTTCAAAACATACTCCTCGAATCACTTTTGTTTTCTCATTAGAATTCGAAAATGTTAACTTTTATTTAAATGTAATTAAAAAAATTTATTTATATTTTAAAGGCACCTTGAAATCATTGAAAAAACATTTCGAACAGTTTTTGATGTCACTANTTCTCACGAAAACTGTCATTTTTAAGTTCATAAAATCCCAAAAAAGTAAAGTGAATAAAAAGCTCTGAAACTTTTTATATATATTAATAGAAATATGTAATGGAATTATAAAGAAAGTATGTATCCTATAAATTATACTTAATAATTAAATTAATTAATTTTTTAAATTATTAATTTATAATTAATCAATTTACGATAATTAATCATTAATTAATTAATTTAATAAATAAGTTAATTAATTTAATAAATTAATTTATTAATTTATAAATTAATTTTTTTAAGATTAATTAATAAATAAATTAATTAATTTCACTATTTAAAAAGTGAGGGAATGACACTAATAGTGAGGGAATGATATTTTATTTTAATACATGTTTTAATCTAAGTTACATCTACCTGAAGTTTGAAAATAATATCATACTAAGTATATCTAATATTTATTATAATTTAGTTTTATATATTTAATAGTTTTTACAGGTTTGGGAAATAAAATTGGCCGGCACGATTAAACAAAAAATTTTTTTATAATATACTCATTTTGAATCATTCCCTTACTTTATACACTAGTGAGGGAATGACAAATTTATTAAAATTTAAAAATAACAGTTAGGCCTAATTAATTTCTGAAGTCAATCACATACAATTATATTCATACAAGAAAGCAACATATAATTATCCACTTTCTCGATGAAGTTGTATTTTATTTTACTCTAAAAAATGACATGAGGGAATGACAACTGTAATAATTTTTATATTTATTATAAAGACACCATTGTTTGCGTCTTTTAGCACAAATCGAGTAAATATTACTTTTATAACATGTTATTTACACAAATATAAATATTTAATTTCCAATAAAATATGTTAAGCTTACTTCAAATGTCTCAGATTCAAAAGAGGAGAAATCTGACAAATCTAGATTTTGAACTCATTTTTTTAAATTAATTTGGTACATTTTTATTTGTTAAAAGATTTAGTGAATTTCGTCCCAATTATCATTTTGAATTGTATAAAATTGGCTTCCACAGTTTTGGTTAATATCCGTTCGTTCACATTCACTATAATTAAATTTCTAGTTCCATAAAGGTGTCCCGACATGGGATTCTATTTTCCCCCCTTCCCATGCTAACCTTCATAAATAATACAAATAATAATTCCTTACATAATTATTCACTGATTAATATTTTGGAATACAGTTTGTTTTATTTTTTAACATAGGGATTAACATAGTAATTATGCGGATTAACTATACAGATTAGCTAAACAGAGTAACACGAGGGACGAAGTATATTGACTCTGACTCCAAGTTAATCGTAAATAATTTTATGAATTTTGCCATATCTAAACCCAACTTTATCAAGTCATGATCTCATCTGAAACAACAAGAAAAACAGCTTATGCTTTTTTTTTAATTTTAAAGAAGTAATTCTTCAATAAGTAATTCTTCAATAAGCAAAGAACAAGATATTACATCTAGATAATGGAATGAATTTGGAACCAAAATTTTGAAAGAAATGTTCTTTACCTACATATTTCAGTCTAATATTATTGTTGAAATCATTTTTTTCGTTCCAAATTAAAAAAAAAATTTAAATAAAAGGGTTTTTTTATATACTTTTTTTCTTAAACTAAGAGTTATCTGAGCATTTTTAAAAAAGTTCCGCCACAAGTTCTAACTTTCTGAAATGAGTTATAATATTTTTTGTATTATTAATATAGGTAAATTTCGAAAAGATAATTTTTAAGTTAATAATACTGAAATCAATATTCTAATTTTGTATAGTGTACTTACTTTGATTATTGATAATGTACACGTTCCAAAAACTAATCATGAGGAATATCAAGCTTCAGGACAAAAACAAAAGATGATCGAAAGAAGGGAAGAGTAATAAAAAAAAAACTAGGCCGATATCTGATAGAGTAGAAACAGCAATACTATATAGGCTATCATACTAGAATAATTACTTTTGGGAATCGAAAGGGCATTCTCTGACGGAAATAGATTAGCTGAACGAAAAGAGCATATTCACGTTTCAAATAAAGAAAGTCTGAACATATGCAGCCTTTACATCTTTTACGGTGTAGCAAATAATATAGTAAATAGAGCTTACTTCTATATAAATCCTAACTTCTGTTGGGAGTTGTTTACTTGGATACTTATTTTGTTTTCTGTGTAGAAGGGCTTGTAAATTAATTTTTTAGACATATTATAACACCATCCGTGTTCTTTTTTTATACTACCTTCATCTGGGGGATAAGCTTTTCTTTTTCTTCCAACTATATCTATCTATCAATCTCATTGCATTTCCAATGTGTCAAAATATCAAAATGCTACTATTAAAGACACAAAAACTGTATGTTAATAAACTAAACTAAACTAAACTCAGCTGCGTGACAGCCCTAGAGGGCCAAGGCCTACTGTGCCCATCTCAGTTTTCTTGACCTTGGGCTCTGGGGTGCAGAAGCAGATGTTCCGGTCAGGTGGTCAGCGGAACGCGGAACTCCCCAGGGCTAAAGGGAACTCCCTGTGTTTAGTTCCCAAGCATGCTTGGTACTCATTTATCGACCCACTGAAGGGATGAAAGGCTGAGTCAACCCTGCCCGGCCCGAGGATCGAACCAGGGACCTGTGGCACGGCAGCGGCCCCCTGGCTTCAAAAATTGCATAACAATTATTAAAATCATACCGTAGAACAAAAAGACGAAGTAAGTGGCAAACGCGTTTTCTTTTAGTTAACCGACATCAAGCGATCGTTAGAGTAATGATAATGTAGTTCGGAAATTTTGTTTATAACAAACTGAATATTAATATTTTAATACTAATGCAAAAATTTTTTTGAGAAAGATACATTCTTCTACTGTTTGAGAAAGAGCAAAATGGTGAGCATACCTATTCTGTTATCAATGCAAAAAAAGAGGAAAATGAACATCATTTAACCTTCTTGTTTATAATGCTTTGCGAGAGCTGTCACCGTCTAAGTAGTTTTCATCCTAGTAAAGTAGCAGATTTTCCGCAATTTTTAATAATCGGCACATTTCAGAGAAATTAATACTTTGCTGCCCACACGTTCACAACGTATGAGCTACAATGAATGGGCTCCTTATTTCTCTTTTTCATGGCTTACTATTAATTCTGTGCACTACATTAGAAAGCTATTGTGCCCCATTTAATTTTTATTTTTAATCTTGCAACTTCTTTCATTTTTCGATCTTCTTCTTGATTGGTGACGTATACCAGAACTAGTAACTAGAAAGCAAATCTATTTTAGCCCAAATGCGAGGGACAGAGTTGTACCCCTAAACCTGGTGTTATCTCTGTCTCCGTTATAGGAATATATATTATGTTTTCATAAAGCTACTGTTCTTCATTTAATTTTTTATCTTGTTACTTATCCTTTCATTTTCTTATCTTCTTATTGAATAGTAAAGTGTGACAGAACTAGTAACTGGAAAGCAGATTTAATTTCGCGAAAATAAGAGGGGCCCAGTTTTGCCCCATAGCCCGGTTTCATCCTAGTCTTCCCTATATGAATAGATATTATGCTTTCTGAAAGCTGTTGTGCTTCATTTAATTTCTTCACTTGAATTTCTCCTTTCTTATCTTGTTATTGAAAGTAAAGTGTAACAGAGCTAGTTACTAGAAGGCTTATTAAATTTCGCCAAAATAAGAGGGACACAGTTTTACCCCACAACCCGGAATAACCCTAGTCTCCTTTATATAAATATTTATTATGTTTTCTGAAAAATGTATTCATCATCTCCATATTTACCTATTTCTATAGATGAGTATTAAAGCACGGTATTCAATACATTCATCAAGTTTAAGATCATTTAAAGTTACTATGGTCAGTCATCGGGATGCTTCACATGAAAAAAACTGAACATTTTGAGCACCTCAAAATAAAAGTAAGTTCAAATTTTTAAAATCCCTTTAGAGATATTAAAAATCGAATTATAAATCATGAACAAAGTAAAAATGTGGTAACTATTTTATGACAACCACTGCAAATCATTAAAATGAAATTATCACTTCCTTTAAATTATCGCTTATTTTGAATTATTATTTCCATTTAAACTAAAAAATTTTCAGTCAATTTTATTTGTGTCAGCCGCTTTTATTCTTCAAAAAAATAATTTAATTTTTGAACTTTATCTATAATAATATCAAGATGTTGTTGTTGTTAATTTACGTCGCACTAGAGCTGCACAATGGGCTATGGGCGACGGTCTGGGAAACATCCCGGAGGATGATCCGAAGACATGCCATCACAATTTTGATCCTCTGTGGAGGGGATGGCACCTCCGCATTGGTAGCCCGACGACCTGCGCGCGAAGTCGAGCACTTTACGGTAGCACAGTTTAACGAGGACCAATACCGCACACCCTCGGTCCCTACGCAGACTGATCCAAGTGGTCACCCACCCGCACACTGACCGTAACCAATGATGCTTGACTTCGGTGATCTGCTGGGAACCGTGTCTTAACGATCAGTCCACTGCGGGACATAATAATATCAAGAGTAATTATAAAAATATCTTCAGACATTATTTATATACCATTCATTTATAACTCATAGCATGAAATTTATTTTTGTTAATTCTTTCTAACACCGAAAGCAATTAGCTGCATTTTTTTATAAAGATATCGGATATATATCAAGTGAAAAAAATAGAGATAAAATGTATGAACAATAACTCTTAAAGTTAACTAGTTTATGTTAACAACGTTTAATAGCAAACATGAAGTTAACCGCATTATGCAGTTATTTGTTTCAAGTGTGTGGCATTCGATTTTTTCATGACGCAATTCAGGACATATTATATCATTTTTAGAGATTAAACTTGTCAGTCTTTTAATTTTTAAATACCAAACAACAATTTTGTTAAAATCAATTATTGTGTTATTATGAGTTACTTGAATTAGAATAGTAGCTTTCTTAAAAAAAAATTAAAGATAATAAATTTTAATTCCATAAACTGAAATTTATGAAAAACTTTTTTTTAACCTTCTTTTGCATTTATTTACATTTTAAATGAAATATCGTGTCATTGCTATATAAGAAATTATTTTCACCAAGTGGAATTTCTTATTTTTTCACTTTTGAACTTAACACTTTTTCTTCAGAAGAATAACAAAATTGTTGATGAATTTTATGTGACTGAAATTTTATAAAAAGATTTAGATATTCGAAAACCAGTATGTATCACCGCTTTTGACGAGAAATTTTAATTTCAGTTACTGATCATTTTTCACAATGTGTGTACTGTGTACGTTAAATTGAGTAATGTGTACGCTAAACTTTCCGCAATTGGTTCAGAAATATGACAAATTTTGTCTTGCAAACTTCGTCAACACTTAATACAAAATAAAACCATTGATTTCTAAGAACAATTACTGGAGCGGCATTCATAAAATAAATATAGAAAAGTTGATGAAATGGAAAATAATAAATTTTCCATGTCTCGAATCAGTTTTCAAAAGGTAATCAGATTACAAAATTTATCCGAAAATTGTATCCAAATAATTGATATAAGAAATTATGCAAGGATATTTTTCTGAAGGTACGAAAATTTTCGTGGCAGTCATTTACAAGTAAAGTTTAAAAAATTTCTTTATTACATATAAAATAAATTTTTTTTCAATTAACTGAAATCTAATCTTATAAATCTAAGCAAAACTGAAAAGATTTTAATCTCGTTATCTTTTTTTAATATTGACATATGCTAAAATAAGGTAATCTATGACCTAAAAGCATAATTTTGTACAGATATTTAGTGTTTAAATATAACTTTTGACCTGTTTTGTTTGCAAAGACCAATTTTTAAATCTTGGAGATGATTACGGTAAAAGATAAGTTCAATTATAACTATTGAATTGCTTTACTTTATTGTTCTTTTGAACTTTAATGTTCAAATCACGCTATTAAAATTGTTAGTATATTCTTTACTGCAACAATGCAACTGAAGTTTTCTTTTGTACTTGTAATACAATAATAAATAATGATAATTATAATAATCATAAAAATAATAATAATAGATTACTCGAATGTATAGTTTAAATTTACGATAGTGTTATCTTATTTCTTTCGATATCTATTTTTATTATTTTAGTTGTGCACATGTTTTGCATTTTAAAGTAGAAAAATATTTTAATAAATCAATTTTGTCTATAAATCATCTTAAAACTGCATGATTTATTTTATATTTTTACATTTTAAATTCTAATTTTTAAATTTAGATAATTCTATTTTCTTTAAATCAAAACAAAAAACGATGACCATCTATATTCTTTGCCATTTAAAAAAAATCTGAATACATATTTTCCCAATGCCGGAATTATTACAAAGAGTTTTGTTTCAATGCAAGCGTAAAAAAAATCATAATTTTTTTCCATGTAGTTAAGCAACAAAACTGGAAATGATTTATGGATTCTTTTAAGTAATGTTTATTGAAAAGCCAAAAGTCAAATGGCAGTTACAGATACTCTGTGAGCAATAATGATTTATTGTTCATTTCATTGGCATGTATCGAAAACAAATTAGTACAAAAAGTTTCTTACCATCAATAATCAGACTGCCATTAACGTACCACGAAACAATGGGTGAGGGATCAGCCCTTACTGCGCACATGATCATGAAATCAGTACCTTCTTTTCCTACTTGCTCTTCCGGTGTATCCCAGAAAGTGATTGATACTGAAAAAAAATTGCTTTTTTTAACTAGAACATTTTTTTCAATTGAATAAAGTGTTATGAAAACGTTTGAAACGATTTTTTAATAATGTTAAAAAGGTACTAGTCATTAGTTCTATTAAAAATAATGATATGTAAATAATGTATGTGTGGAAATCAAAAGTATTACAAGGTGTACTGTAATAAAAAAATTCAATTCAACGATTTATATATATATATATAT